TGCATGCAGTTATTATTATTATTATTCAGCAGAACAGAAAACTCTGGCTTACATGTAACTACTAGCAGACCAAAGGTAACACGCCAAGAAATGAAAAGTAATCCAAAACACTGAGACAGGCAGGAAGCTCCCGACACATGATGTGGACACGACAAAGACTGAACAAAACTGAAGGCGTTAAATACAGACACAAACTCGTTCTCACTCCCCGACTCGTCAAGAACCATCGGCGGTCCATGTGAAAGAAAAAGTCAACATTAAATACTTTTATTTAAGTTACGTAAATTGCGTAAGTTACGCAAATAACGTTACTATACTTATGTGTTAACTGACGTAACGACGATCTTTTCCTAACACTGTTGTTGCTAACTTTAGCGGACGTTGCATGTTTATTGTTGCTAAGCGCTGCTAACTTGACCACGGAGCGTCTAAAAATGACGCTAAAGGGCCTTGACCAAGCACCACTATGTGACGAGTCGGTGAGTGAGAATGTGGGAGTGAACAGGTGATTCACATTAGGGACTAATTGGACTCAACAGGAAACAAATCTAAACAAAGACACATGAAACTGATCACGACAAACTAAGACAGGAAGTAAAGGAAAGGAAACTTATTGGGAGAAAACCAGTAGTTCTATGTAAAATGAGACGTTGAGCTCCCCCATACAGCCAAAATGGCGTGATCCTTTCGTAATGCAGCGAGATCAGGCAGAAGGTGGTTCAAACATGACATAGTGACGTTTCGACACAATTTCTACCCAGCATGCCTTACTTTAAGTCCATCATGCATCATGTTAAGTCAGCGCCGCGCAGCACCACATGAAGACAAATGCACCTATTGACAATCAAATCAGGCTCCGCCCATCGAAGCATCGAATCTTTGACTATACGGGGTCAGCGTTAATACAAACAAAAGTAAAAACTATCTATAAAAATATCTTAATGTTGACTCTTTAATAATTTATACAAACATACAAAAGGTGGCACCAACTAATAAAATAAAGTGTTTCAAGACAAAAGGTAAAGGGTACCCCAAACTTACGTAATGACAAAACTCCTATGACTTTATTTATAACTTTACCAAGGGAGCGCATTCACAATGCAACTGCGTGGCCAGCGGGTCGGAGAGAGAGAGAGAGAGAGAGGGAGTGAACTTCATCTTCTTATTTGGGTTTTGACAGCAGCTGGCATCCATGGAGTTGCATTACTGCCACGTTCAGCCCTTATTCTCCCTCAGAGTCCGCTCATATTAAATCCGTCTTTCCAGTCCAGTCGTCTTCAGCAAAACAAATAACGATTTCCTGCCTTCAAAACTGTCTCCACATTCCTCCTGAGACCTGGCAATTCATTGTTGTCCTCTGTGGCGGACATGGCACCGAGGGCTCTATTTCAAACAACATGCGTGTAACCTGTTTGAGTCCTAATGTACTGCGTAGAGTACATCCTGTGCTGTCAATCACATGGGGGTGTGGCCAACAGATAAAAAGTTCTGTCTTTTCAAAATGGCAGGAATCACACCAACCAGCCTCCATGGCCTTAAGAGAGGCAAATTATAACATTTATGCAAATGTTATTTTTTGTTATGTTATTAACATTGTTAATTTTAAGCTTTTAAAAATACAATTTTAAGTCCATGTCCTTTGTAGGGGACGGCGGGACTTGCTCCCACTGATTTTCCATATTTTTGGCATATTAATTGTCACATTAAGGTGCAGGAGAGAAGGACGCAACAGGAAGACCTGTTTCAATTGTACCATGCATGTGTTCATCACATTGTATGTGCACTGACCTTCTTTCAGATATTCGCCCATTGAGCAAAATGTTTTTGAAGGTAGTAATATTTTTTTTGTTCAAAAAAGTTTTCTTAAAATTAAATGTAAATTTTCCAAGATGAACGTGTTTGAAATTTGTTCTATATTGTTCTATATATTTATATAATACAAAATGGAAAGCAAATTTATGGCTTACAATGTTTTTTTTTTTACTAAGGACATGTAATGAAACATAAATGAAATATATTTATGAGAAAAAACAAATCTTTGTGACATGTTTCCTACATCTCAGTTACTGGAATTATGTAAACAAAATTAAAATTTTAAAATTGTTTTTCTTCCGGGTCTCAGGACTTTTCTAACCGCATCCTCTGCCCGCCCCATTGTTTTGTAATTGTATTATCATCTCTTATTATTCGTGTATGAATTTCCTGCATGGAACCTGCTCACAAACAGACCTGTTGGATGGCTTCCTGTGCTGTTAATGTTTCCATTTTGCTCCCCTGCTTCTTAGCGTGTAAATGTCTCCCTTTTATTGTGTTATCCCAATTCAGCCGTTGCTGTTGATTTTGATAATTTAATATTGAGTTCAGTATCTCGTCATTTTACTGCCTCTTCTTCCGCCAACTTGCCTGTTTTCTCATTTCCCCTGATTCCTGAAATAATACTTCATGGTGATTTCCCGCACAGTGTGTGCACTTTACTTGCTCCTGCTCTTCTCTATGCTCTTTCCACACCTCTGACTCCTCTAAATACTGCAGCAACATGTCCATATTCCTGACAGCAGAAACATCTTAGTGGAGCTCTCTCATGTGACCTCACCTTGTAACATATATACGCCAAATATGTCCTTTCTGGCAATTCCCCCACAAAGGTCAGACACAGCGAACCACTTTCCTCTTTCTCCCCTTTGTTGTGAGTCTTGCATCACAACCATCTTCCAAACGACCCGTCCTCCACTCACAGCGGTACACCACTTATCACTCTCTGACCCCCCCTGAGTGAGAATTGAAACAGCTGTGATCTTCATACTATCTAATCCTCAGTGCTTTATCTCGCTGCCGCCTTGACACACAATCAATGATATCCATCCCACCCCTTGTTATCGTGATCGAACGCAAGTTTATCTCCCAAAAACTTTCCGACCCCGTGTTGATCTTTGAATATCCCGTCTGTTCGTGTCACAGCAATAAACCCAACACGATACGTCTCATCGGTCCTTTTTCCTCTGACTGGCATCGCTTGTCCCTTCCTTCCTTTTCTTATTTACAAATCATCTCACTTTGTCTTCCTTTCCTTTGACTCCGTTTTCAAAGTGCACGCCTTCCTCATCCCTTCTCCCTCTGCCAGCAGGCTTCTTTTATTGAGGGCTTGGCTTTACGATGTTTGTAGGCAGCAAGGGCAGAAGCCAATAATCCTGGTCGCAGGGCCCAGTTGTTCAGAAGTAGTCTGATTTGATTTCGGCTATCGGATTGGATCAAATCTTGAAAACGGGTTGTTTAAAAGATAAAAGTCTTCAGTAGGCCTATGTGTTGTTGAAAACTCTTTATAAGGATTGGGAAATCAGGATTATCCTGATCCCAACAGAACGGAAAAAAAATATAATACAATTTTAAACTTATTCAAATAATACCACATCTTTAACATGTTGCACACACAGATTTTGCACTTGATTTATTTATTATCTACAACGATAAAGTAGATAAAGCAGACATTACCTATTAAGCCTTTCAGTACCGTAAATTAAATAATCCCCCAAACAGCTGTCACTATCAAACAAAAACAAGGTATTTAATTTTAACTGTCACCTACTGTGCATTAATTACAATGACACAATCATCAGGGCCCGGTTGTTCAAAAGTAATCTGATCGGATTTCGGCAATCGGATTGGATCAAATCTTTAAAAACGGGTTGTTCAAAAGACCTGATCCAATCCTGGTTTTGATCTGGATCAAACCTTCAGTTTGTGTTGTTCAAAACTTTCTAGTATAGGACTGGGATCACTTTTATCCTCGTCCCAACAGAAGGCTGGATTCAGGGTGGATTTTAGGAACAAAATGTCATAAAACTTTTGAAATTTCCCAAATAATACAACATTTTTTCTCATGTAGCCTACATAAACATTTATTTACATTTTGCACTTGATGTGTTTAAACTTAACAGTGAAAGGAGACATTACCTATTAAGCCTTTCAGTACAAGTTAAATAATCCCCCAAACAGCTGTCACTATCAAACAAAAATAATGTATTTAATTTCATACTGTCACTCATCGCGGTACATTAATTACAAAGGCACAATCATCAGAGGTGACCCAAGTGTTCTGTAACAAGTGCATCCCTTACTGCAGGTCCAGTCAGTCCCTCATTCTGAGCTAAAAGCTGCTCTCTGAACAACACATGCTCAAAATATCCACAGTGCATCTGTGAATAATGTATATTTGTTTGTGTTTCTTGGATTTGTTTTGGGTCAGATGGTCTGACTGTTTGAGAAATTGAAAATGGAAGGAAACGTTTGTGTTGTTTTATTGCGTCTCTTCAAACACAAGTGACCCCACGCTGACTGATCTACCTGTTGGTCTATATATAATCAACAGCGTTGTGATATGTAGTCCCATTTAGAGCAGATTTGGTAATCCTGAAAAGTTTATATCTGGATCAGGGTGATCCAATGTTGCTTTTAAAAAAACAGCACAAAAGTAAGAGGAGTTACGTGATCCGGTATAGCAAAACATGGGCTTTCCAAATCCGGATCATTAAATTTGAACAACTGGGCTTGGAAATCAGAAAGAAAACACACAAGGGCTCAACAGTTGCATAATAACTTTGAAACTAACTATGAAATATTAGTCTAATTTTGTTTTGAAAATCAAGCTTATTTTCACACATAAAAGAAAACGTTTATGTGAACTATATATTAAAAATGAAACGATAATAATATAAAACACAGTCCATAGGTTAGATATTTATGACGCAGTTGCATATTAGGGCCACATTAAGGGAAAAAACAATAATTTTGCATTTCGCGAATAAAGTCAAAATGATCAAAATGGTAGCCTACTTTACCTTTTTACTCATCATGTTATCTTTATTCTGGAAATGCTAAATAAATAACAAAATCTTCGTCCTTACTGTGGCACTAACACTCCGTCACAGATGATCAGCAGTCACACGTTTGGACGGCAGCAGTGATAAACCGTAACGTGGCGGACGTCTCAGACTGTCGCGGGTCACAGATTTCCGCGTAACACCTGTCCACCCCGTGAAGCTAATAAATTAGCAGCGTGGTTTTTACGATTGTAAACTTTTAATGGGGACATGAGGAGAGCCGCAGCCGAGCAATGGAAAGCAAGGAGGGGCATTTAAAAGGTAATTAATCTAAAAATAAATATAAAGTTTGATATTTAACTGTAACAACGTGAAGTTGTAACATGAACACAACGATGAAGTGTGGTGTTGTGACTTCAGCTAGCTTAACGTTAACTGTTAAAGTTTGACATAGTTCATTTAAAGCCGATTAAGTTTTTGTTTCCTGCAGTTTTACCACCGTTGTTTTTAGACATTTGATGTAGATTAAGGCTGCCAGATTATTATATTGGTAATTTTAGCTACAGTGCTAGTTTAGCTGAAAGCGCCTGTGCAGTTAACTTAACGTTACTCCAAAATATGTGCATCGTAAAACAAAAAAACAAATAAACAAAAAGCACTACAATCACATATGGAGCTGGCGATTCAGGAGAAAGTAATAAATCATATATATACAGCGACGTGTTAAGAGGATAAATCTATTTTTACCGGCTGTCCGATAATGGACGCACTGGACAGCTAGCTAGCTACTGATAAAGTGGCCTAACTAAACAATAAACACACCTGGCCCAAATAATGACTCAACAATACAACATAAACTGCTAATGCTTTTAAACAATTAAGCTTTATCTCTCCACTAAATAGAGTAGCTCAGCTATGTTATATTTTTGTTGCAGGTTGTGAGGCTTTTAAAGAAGTAAGAAGTAGTTTTGGACTTATTTTAATGGAGTTATTGGTGTTTTTCCATTTGTAAAATTTAACAGAAACATACAGAGGTTTTGGAAGCAGGTTGTCTGTAAGTTAATGGGAAGCTGACTGCATGTTTTATCATAATTATTTATAAATGATCATTTATTGTTATGTCATGAGGGGCTTTCTCCTCACTTGAACTGAAGATGATCGTTCAAACCCATTTTATTGTATATTAATTGACCGACACGCTGGTTTAAAGTACTTTGCCACTTACTCTGTGAAAGGTGCTATATTAAATAAACTTTACTTACTTACTTAACCAAAATTGAAGGCATGAACATTGCTGAAATTGGAAATGAACTTAGTTGGTGTGGTAAAATAGTAGCTAGCTTGCATCCAAAAAATATATATTTATGTAAATGTATAAATTTTGGGTTGTAACTAATGCCTGTTTTTATTAACCCATTTCCTTGACAAGTTGACTAGTTGTTTAATTTATGAAATGTGAATTTCTTCTTTTGTCTATATTCAGTTTACTATCATATGAGAGAAGAGAAAGCAACAAATCATCAACTGAGAAGCTGAAATTAAGTGATTTTTGCTTTAAAAAAAAAAAAAAGAAGCTTAAACAATTAACTGAGTATGATAATGATTGCAGATAAATTTGCGTTTTGGTAATCGATTAATCCGTTTGAATAACAATTTAAAAAAAAGGCAAAATTCTCAAATTTGGGCCGGTTGCACAAAGAACCTTCTTAAGTGTGAATATTTTCTGGTTTCTTTGCTCCTCTGTGACAGTAAACTGAATATATTTGGCTTCTCTGGCTTTGGGAAACACACTGACATTTTTCACCATTTTCTGACATTAATTAATTGAGAAAATGATTGACAGCTCAATCGACCGTGAACGTAATGGTTAGTTGCAGCCCTGACTGAATCTGTTTCAGGCGCGAGTCAAGCGGAGTGGTTCTTCACGAAAGCCAAAATCTCCCTGGCAGTGGCTATAATAAAGAACAAGCCCACGGGCATGAGTGGCAGAGAGTACGCTGAGGCTTTGGCCGGCAAGATGAAGAGCCAGGATGAAGGCTGGAAGAAAAAAGCCCGGGAGCTGCAGCAGGAGGTGCTGAGGCTGCGACAGGAGCTGGTGATGGCCAGAGCGACGTCTAACACAAGGAGCACAGCGCATGCAGCAGGTATGTAGGTTACAAGCGGAGGAGGAAGCGTAAATGTCCTGCATTGAAATCGTTACATAAGTAAAAGTATAATCAGGAACTTTTTAAAGCGGCAACGTGTTCAGTATCGGGCTAATTAATTATTCTTTTCATTCTGAATCAATCCGCTGATTATTTTCTCCATTAAATCGATTGATTGTTTGGTTTATAAAGATTCTTACAGTTACCCAGAGACCAAAGTGACACCTTCACAACGCTTGTTGTGTCCAAATCTCAACTTTATTAACAAACATTACAGTTATTACAATAATTCAGAGGAAAAGCAGCAAATCAAACGAATGAAACCTTCAGTTATCAAAATAGTTGCCAATACATTTTTTTTAATCAGTCGGCTAATCGTTACAGCTGATCTTTAAAAATTCAATTTATAACAAAACAATACATCATATTTTATTAATTCTCAGTATATTTTGTGCAGAAAAATCTGTTAACTTCTAACTGAAGCTGTCGGATAAATGTAGTGTGGAGATGTGAAGAAGGAGAAAGTGTTATGAATAAATAAAGAAGTACAAGTACCTCACGTTTGTACTTGAGTAAATATGTTTGGATAATAATTGAATAAGACACTTTATTTAAAGAGCATGTTACTTCACTAAAATCATCTTGGTTTTTAAAAAGAAAACGGATAAAAACATTTTGGTGTATAGAAACCAAGACTGTAAAGGAAAAGAAGAGGGGGGGAAATGACAGATGTTTTTTTTTTAATGGCTCATGATATAATGCTGAACAAAGAGAAGTCATGTATAACTCCATTATTCCTGCAGAGTCCAATCTAATATACATCTCATCGTTATCTCAGCCGGTAACGTGTTGATTTAGTTGTGAGCTTTATTAATTAATGAAACCGACACGAGAGCGGGGTTCAGTTTGTCAGACGTCAATCAGCTGCATTATTCTCTACAGTATAACTATATATACTAAACACTAGCCAGTAATGGTGTTAGATTAGATCTGCTGTCATCCAGGATGATATATCGGCCTCTCTATCACAGCTGCAAATGCTCCGTGCCCCCCCTTAGTGTTCAACCGGGCCCTTAGAACAAACAGCAGCACCTCAGAATATAAGAGATCAGAGATACAGCAGAGAGAGGGGCCATGAAGAGGCTTATAAGTATCTAAAACATGCTGGGGGCCAGCGTAAAGATAATAGAAAAGTAGATTAACTTTTCACCCAGGTAAGAATTATAGTTATGTGTGTATATAAGTAGTAAAAGCAAGAACACGTCTGCCTCTGATATTCCTGAGTTTGTTTTTAATGACAAACATGTTGTAGTTTGAGGTTTTACCCTTGAAAGAATAATTTATTCAGTGACCTGTTTTAACAGACAGGAGGTTCCGCTGAAAGGTGAGCTCGTGTCAAAAAAACTGCACACAATTTGTAGAGATATCCAAGCACCGAGCGTCTCTGCTGATGCCTTTTCAGTGTGAGGAGGCGATATCTCAAGGACGGGTTCATCCTGACGCGAGGCCTGCGAGGAGCCCAGACACCGGGCGTCCTGTCCCAAGGTTATCTCACAAAGCTGCTAATGATCACATACACGATGTTTTATGGCTGCGTGTTACCCCTGCTGACCCGGGCGGTGTTATACACAAACACGACAATATTAATGATGTCTGTCAAACAGATGAGTGCAGAGTGGAAGCAGCTTTCACCTCAACCAGCTGCATTTTAGTACCTGTAAACCATCAGTTCCTTTCACGTCAGGACTGGCGAACATCACAAAGTTCTGCAGCGATTGGGCTCTGTAGCGCCCCCAAACGCACGCCACAGTCGAGACAAAGTTGCCTGTTTTGTGGGGATCGTTGCGTTTAATGTCATGTGACGCCATGAAACCCAGCATGCCTTATGTTAAGTCCTCGCTGATGTCTGAGATGGTTGTGGGTCATAGCGGTAAAAGTGCCCCCAAAATTTGAAGCAGCCTCCGCCGTACCTTTAACCTTGATGTATGAAATTTGAGAGGCAGAGGGATGAAAAGGAAGCGGCTGGACTACAAGCGAGCTGTTTTCAGGCAGTTTTCTGTGGGAGATGGGAACTCCCTTTGGGCTGGACTTTATGCTTTTTATACGCAAACCACCTCTTTAATTTTACATTTTTCTGATTAATTAAGTCTATAAAATGTCAGAAAATTGTTAAAAATGCTCATCACCATGTCCCGGAGCTCACGCTTACATCTTGAAACCCCAAAGAAACTGCTAATGGTTTATTTAATTAAAGCAATTGTGGAAATGGCTGGAAAATCCCAAGAACTATGTTTTTCAAACCTGTGAGCTAATTAGAAATGTCTATGTGGAGCTTAATCCAATATTTTTTTTAAGTGGTTAATCCATTTATCCATTCATCCATCCTGCTCATCCAGGTCCAGGTTGTGTTTAATTATTAATTAATTAAATTATAAGGCCTTTTTGAAATATACAGCCAGGAAGTACAGACACAAGTTTGATTTCATAATAAATTCATGCACTTTGTAAGTAACTCTAGGACTTATTGTTCCGACGGGTTTTCATTGATATCTTTCATACTCTGGCTGGTTTGACCATGTAAATGTTATTTGGGGGGGACGGTTTGGACTGCAGCCTGTTAAATGATCACCCAGGTCCACCTGTTCATAGAATTATCAGCTGCAACCCCTACAGTTTAGATTTTAGACTAAAAGACAACAAAGCATCATGATATTCCTTAAAAAGGAAAATGCATCTTTACCTTCACATGTGCTTGTCTGAAAAGCATTTATTCTGAGTTGCTAAAATGCGTATTTGTGTATCAGTTTCAGTCGTCTTTGTTCTTTTTTTTTTATTTTTTATATTTATTCAGCAGCAAAAACAGCGTACTTGCAGAGAAAGTGTAATTCCGCAGTGTGATCCTAATGTGTTGATGTTTATGATGTTGTGTGAAAAGAGAAAAATATATATTCTTTTAGAATCCAACCATGGCCGGGCTGAATATAAAATACTTGAGGTTTGATACAGCCAGGCAGACGGGTTACGACCTTCTGACCACAGATCATATTGGAAATGTAATAATGTACCTTAATGACCACGATATGACTTTGAATGATCATTTAGATAATAATACAAATCTGGCTCTTCTGCCAATATTGAATGTGTTTTGTCACTTTGTTCCAGCTAGCGTCTGACCTTCAGTTACCTTTTGTCTCGCAGGCGGCGACGCTGTGATCATAGACTTTTTCTTTATTGTGTCATGCTCATAAATTTTATTGATTCTTTGAACATTTGTTCAGTGTGAAATGTGATGGCAGAAAATATTTTTTTTATTTCTCTTATATTCTTTTAGGCAAATACTTTTTAATAGTACTTATTATTATTATTATTATTATTATTATTATGATGATGATGATGATGATGTGTTTGACAAGAAGATGGATCAGTTTGTCAGATCGGCCAGCAATAGATAAAGCATATGATGAGCAAAATGCTCAAAATGGACCATTACAAAATAGCGGCGACGACATCATAATAATAATAATAATAATAATAATAAAAAATACTAGTAAAAGTAAAATAATTTAAGAGAAGGAAAAAACAATTTTCTGCCATCACATGAAATATCAGATATTTACTGAAAAAAAGGAGGGTGAATTTTTCCCTTTTACATTTCAGCTGTGTAAACAAATGCACACTGGCGTTCAGTCACACATGTACCACACTAGGTAACTTCACATGTTAGGGCAGTTTCAGATTTAGCAGCGGGAGGGTGGGATTATTATTATTATTATTTTTTTTTTTTTACTGTCCTGGGATTGGGAGGATTATTTTTGTGGGAGCGGGATGAGACAGGAGGGAAAATACGCTGCCATGTCACCATCCAGTAGAAATACCAAAAAGTACTCCCTGAGCAGAATCCCCCATTTTAAAAGAGTACGTATCATCATGTTATTGTATTAGGATTATTGATGCATTCATGTGTTCATCACTTTAATGTTGCTGTTGGTAAAAGTGGAGCTCATGTGAACCACCTCAAATCCTGCTGGGAAGTTTAATCTATGATAATGAACCACAGTTAATGAGTTGATTTATATAATCTGTAAATGAAGTAGTTACTAAAGATGTTAAATAAATATAGTGGAGGAAAAAGTTCAGCATTTCCCTCAGAGATGTAGCAGAGTAGAAGTATAAAGAGGCAGAAAATGGAAAAAGTAAAGTACTTATTTACTTGCCACGACTGAAACTAATTTATGTTTTGACTCATTTACAGAAATGCATTTAGGCAAAACTGATCCCAAATCAGGACCTAACTCTTCTGTGTAAAATCTTCTTCCAGATCATGACTACACCATGAACGTTTCGCAGGACCTCTTTGGTCCAGAAAGTACGGCGTGCAGCGCAGACCCTCAGTCAGGCTGCGACTCAGAGACTCCTGAACTCCTGCTACCGGACCACCAACCTGCCGTCCCTTCCCCTCAGCCGCCTGTTCCCTCCAGTCATCACGGAGGTCCTCGTGGGAACGCCGCGCTGCCCCACGTGCAGTTCCTCCAGTCGCTGTGTTCCCTGCACCGAGTCGACGGGGACCACAGAGGCCTGGAGTCTCTGTGGTTCAGCTCTGACGTGGATGTAGGGTCAGTGTTAGTGGACTCTGTGTGCCAGCTCCTGGACTCTGTGGTGGCGGCGTGCAGGGACCCCCCTCCGCTGGGACCTCGTGACCTCGTCCTGCAGGCTTGCCGGGTCGCAGCCGGAGCGATGGACCTGTTCTGCTCTCAGAGGCCGCCATCTGTAGAGTTCATGCGGCGCGTGGAAGAGTCACTGAGGGAGCTGACCGCGATGCTGCTGCACAGTAATGAGCTCAGCAGGGTGAGTAGTGGGATCCCCGGGGAGGGCGTGTACGCATGCACACAGTATTTCCCTATTAATATGGCTGAACCCAACTGTTAGAGCGCTTCAGTTTATGCAGTAACGTCCGGCTGCGGACTGTAGCACCGCTCAAGCCACACCCCTCGCTCAAGCCTCGCCCCTCGCTCAAGCCACGCCCCCTTGCGGTACAGTCTCTAATGATTGGCTGTAGCTGCAGAACCTTTCTATATGGTCCGTTCTGCCCTTCCCGCTCAATTTTTACCACGCATGTGTGAAAACTTTATTTACAACACAATATAATACAAATGAACAGTAAATTACAGCATTAGCAGAAAGTCTCTTGCTCAATTTGTTCTTGTTTCCACAAGCTAAATGTTAAAGTGATCTGGGAAAGTATAATAAGCGATTCAAACATTGCCTAAGTAGTGTGCAATATTAATTATTTTTTCATGTCAATAATACTATTGACAAAAATATTAATATTAACCTCCATTAATACTACATAAACATTTTTAAACTTAAACTCCGATCTTGATATGCATGTTTCCACACTAGGGAAAGATGGATATTATAGCAGCATGTTTGGTTTTCTATTTGTGCCTGCTTACTATGCAAAGACAATAACGCAACCAGCATGATGGTGCATCTGTTTATTGAGGATGTGCACAAATGTTAAAATACCACAATATAGTATAATAAGATTTAAAACAACACAACAATAAAAAAATGTGGTTAAGGATCTTAAAAGAAACATAAAACTTTGGACTAACTAATATTACATAACATTTTTAATGTTAAACAGTTGAAATTAATAACTTTTATTTAAAAACAATTAATTGTACTTATTTGTCCAACAACATCATAAGTTCAACTTCTGCTGCACTGAGCTGTGATCACCTACCTGCTGCTTCTGCTGCGTCATTACTTTATCGTCTTCCTCTTCAAATCTCTCCTTCTAGTCTGATGAACTTTGACCTACAAAGACCCGCGCTCACGCCACACACCCCATTCCTCGCACACGCCACGCCCCCTGAGCTACAGCCCGGACCCTTCTCTGTTTATGTGATCAAATAAATGGAAATCTAGATATTGTGCTTATGTTACATTATTACTGTACTAATTCCCATACTAATCCATATTTGCATGTTTAACAGTTTAACCTTTGCACTTGAGAAATATCAACATGTGTAACGATTTTAATTAAGGAAACCTCACTGCACAGCAATAAAAATGTATTAAAGGCAAGTGTCAAAACAAGAATGCAACCTTTTTCTGTTACTTTCACAGCAGGTGAAAATATCTAGTAACAAATTATAAAAAAAAAACTATTGTACAAAGTAAAACTTTCCAGAAAACAAACTATGAGCAGGCTGAGTCGGAGTGATCATCCTGAGCATGTAATGTAAGCGCAGGGACACAAATTAAAAATTTAAATAAGCCTCATTTGGGCAGAAACATAAAATCATGATGCACATCAGGTTCTGGCTGCAGTGGCTGGATTTGGGTCTCATGGGATTAGTTTTATCAGGGAATCTACTCTATAGATTAAAAACAGCAGATTTCTATGGGATTAAATCACCATATTGGTCACAAGTTTCTTACCACTCGACATCCCCTGGGTGTTATTAGTCCTTCGGAAATAGAGCTTAAGGGGCTTACGTGACAGTTGCAGTAGTTGGAGTGTATATATTAACTTTTCCCAAAACACATTTTAATACTACCCCATTTCCCATGAGCATCATTAAAGTTTTATAATATTTTATTTTATCAAGACAGGATTATTGGTGCTTTGTGTAAAAATATGCGTTGATGTCAGCTTAATGTATTCAGCAGCTGAAAGGTTGCAGGAAAAGGTAAAAAATTATTTGCCTGCTTAATTAAAACCAAATAGTTTTACCTTTTCTACATAAAAAATGTTTTAATAGATTCAAAAGCAAATGGAATAAAAAAAAAACGGCTGCAACTAATGATTATTTTCAATCCGTATTTTTTTCTCCATTGCTGTTTTTGTCAGTGGAGTCCGGTGGCTTTGATGAGAGCGACATAGGGGTCGTTTCTGGTTAAACAAAAATGCTCTAACTCTGTAGGATCCTTTTTCCATAATGTTTTCAGACGTCTGAGCCTGTCAGCAGCAACAACAAGCTCTTTAGTGGACGGACTTTATCACGGGCCGACTGCGGCGCGCTCACTAAATATAGGACCAGTTAAAAAACAAAATGTTGTGTACCATAAGTCACAGACACACAAACGTGGGAAAATAGAGTTCAGGTTGAAAAATACAGAGTATCTCGCTGTAGTTTTCTAAAAATGAGAAGCTGCTTCAGTCTGAAACAGTAGGCCAGTAGGCCTCGTGAAAGAACACAGAAATGGCACATGTGGGTGATTTTTGGTAGAGCTTCGCATTCACAGATTTTCTTGTACTTGAAAAGTGGTCCAGGTCTGATGAGTGATTCATGTCTTCTCTAAAGATAAAAACTGCTGTCTGACTTTAAATTGATGAAGAATAAATCTGAATGGATTTAGCCACGATTTTCTTTAGCAAGGCGTGTTTTAGCGTCTAATGTCACGCTAGAGACGGTACAACTCTCGGATGACACGGCGTTGACTGCTGTAGTAATGTTCTTAAATTGTTTCCGGGTCTCCTTGTACTGCTGACATTTGAAGTTCCCTGAACGTCGCTGTGATAGCGACTTGTCAATCACAAGGCAGCCCCGCCCTAAAGCCTCCCCTGCTTCCTGGTCTCTGTTCCTCTAAATAGGACCATAATTTACTAAATGAACATCACGCTGTGGTGAAGAAGACTTGAAACTATCGACTGAGACCATAAACTCATCAGGAAAGTGTTTACTGAGGGAATAAATCGGCTGAGAAGTAGCATAGACTTCTATGCAATCGCACATCTTTCTGCAGCCAGGAAGTCCTCTCACCCGACGTCGTATGATTGTGTTCTGCTGGTTCAACAGTTTGATAAATTGCTGGTGGTGATGGACCAGTGGATAAAGACTCCTGCCTTTGGTGTGAGAGACCCGGGTTCAACTCCCCACTGTGACACATCCACAGTTGTTAGTTAATTTTACAGAAACAATGAGCGCTAAAATATTATTCATTCAGATTAACCGGCATGATAAAGGAATTAAAAACTGTCCCAAAATATGGGCAGGGTGAGTTGAGTGTTTAAGCGAATAAAAGCCTGGGCTATTAATTGAAGTTTTACGGTAAACACATTCAGAGAGGATTTCAATAAGTGTTTTTATTCTCAGTTCTTTTCATTTTGATTCTGGTGATTTTTCCTGTGGCGCTGGCTAAAACCTCTTCATAATATATCAACTAAATCTTTTTTTTTTTTACCTTTTGAAACCACAATGAGAGTATTTTCATTACAATAAAGGAGAACAGTTTGCCGTGTCATTAACCTTTGTTTAAAGCTCACTCACTCCATAAAGGTTAACACTGCCTTCGCAGCCGATTGTGAATGTCACTCACCGCCTCGCACACGTTACCTTCATGACAGGGCTCGGCAGCTGGGAAATGGAGATGAAAGTGAACCTGAGTTGACAAGGATGAAGTTATCCCATCTGGCTCTTAACTGAACGCTCAGAGGATGGCTTAGCCAACTAAGATGGCTGCAGGCAGTTTCCCCTTCACAGCATATTCCCCTTCTCTCTCTCTCTCTGTTTGTCATGACTAATAGTGAAGGAACTGGAGTTTCATTCTGGAGCGACAGTTACGTTGAGCAGTTGTCAGTGAAACTGATGATGGTGGTGAGGAGGGTGTAAGATCATTTAAATATAATGAGGACTTCCATTAACACGGCAGCCATCAGTCTCTGAGAAACGTTATTGCCCTCACGAAGGCAAGATACAGCCTTATAGGACAGCTTACTTGGAGTCAGACAACCAATCACAATAATTTAAAAATTCAAAAAGCAGGAAGACCATTAGTTGGACTCTGTACCTGATTATTAGGACAGGACACTACCTAATTATTATAATGGAATCAGTGCTTTACCATTTTAAAGGTCATGCAATAGTCAAGATTCATATGTGATGAATAAAACATTTGAAATGTTTAAGCTATATTCCCTGCTGACTCCATTTTAATTAATTAATGCTACATAGGCAGGTCCTCATAAAACCAACCCTTAATTTAATTTATTTGGGGGATGGGATTGGTTGCTTCAGGGATATTCTGTAACTTGTCGAAATATTTGGTAATGTTTGGGTATAAAAGTTAAGAAGCTGTTGTTTTGTTAGTTGGTACAAAAGAGCAAATTGCTTTTATCCACTGAAGCGGAAAGTTGACTTTACCTCACCATGTCAGGAAATGTGCACGAAAGCCTACAAACCCATAGAAGGATGGATAATAATTATACAGCACCAGTAGTGTGTTGCTGTGGGTCCTGTTTGTGCACGTGTGTGTATTTCGGACCTGTGTGTAAACAATAACAATAATAACAGAGTGAAAACATTGAATTTCCCCTTGCGGGATTAATAAAGTTCTTCTTCTTCTACTACTTCACTCGTGTACATTTCTGGGTAAACTTTAGCGAGTAGACGAGTTCCTTTTTTTTAGAATAAAGGTGTATTTGTCGATGGTTGGTTATTTATTTATTTTTGATACTGAGTACCAATACATGACCAGTTTTCCCCAAACTTACTATCAGGATACTGTGTTTCAGAATGACAGTGTAACTGTGGCGGGGCGGAGTGCAGTTGACTTTCGACCGGCGCTGCAAAACGTCACCATGACGTCACATCACCATCACACGACATTAACATTTTGCGCGGCGGCAGCGCACAAAGATGCTTTTCTCTGGCTGCACAAAGTTGGAACCACCTTTTGCCCTAAGCTTCATTGTTCACGCAGTCTACCGGAGAACGTGTCCGACTTGACGGCGCTGTTTTTATAGCCCGCCCCATGTTAGACTATCAAGTCGGCCCAAGCAAAGCCTATGTGTGGGAACCACTGTTATACTTTACTGTGTGGAACTTGTTGGAATA